CGAAGTCTTCTCTTTTCCAGACTGAACAGTCTCAGCTCCCGCAGCCTGTCCTCATAGCAGAGGTGCTCCAGCCCCTGGATCATACTTGTGGCCTCCTCTGAACACGTTCCAACAGATCCACGTCCCTCTTATGGTGGGGGCACCAGAACTGGATGCAGTATTCGAGGTGGGGTCTCACAAGAGCAGAGTATAAGGGGAGAATCACCTCTCTTGACCTGCTGACCACACTCCTCTCGATGCATCCCAGGATACAGCTGGCCTTCTGGGCTGCATGATCGCACTGCTGGGTCATGTTGAGCTTCTCGTCTATGAAGCCCACTAGGGTTTGGCAGACCAATTTACAGCTTTGTTCTGCTCTGAGGATAGATGCCAAGCCATCTTGAGAGGTGGTTTAGGAAGCTACTCCTGGTTGCCCCTCAGGGGCCAACTGGCATTTCTTCCTTTTATAGAATCATAGAATAGTTTCAGCTGGAAGAGACCGTGAAGATCATCGAGTCCAGCCTTTGTCCCAGCCCTATCAACTCACTAAACTATGTCCCTCAACTCAACATCTAGTCGTCTCTTAAACAACTCCAGCGACAGTGACTCAATCACCTCTTTGGGCAGCCTATTCCAATGCCTGATAATCCTTTCAGTAAAGAAATTCTTCCTACTATCTAACCTGAACCTCCCCTGGCGCAATTTACATCCATTTCCCCTCATCCTATCACTCTCCGCTAGGGAGAACAGACCAATTCCCACCTCTCTAAAACAAGTTTATCTATCATGATCTAGTTGAGAGGCATCCCTGCCCATGACAGGGAGGTTGGACTAGATGATCTCTAAGGTCCCTTCCAGCCTAGGCCATTCTATGATTCTATGATTCTGTGTCCTTGTAATCTTCAAAAGCTACTCAGCTTTAAAAAGCTTGATGGAAGGAGAACAATGCGAAAGGAGAGCTAAATTTCACTAGCCTCACCCAAAAAACTTTTTACAAATAATTATGATCCAGCAGAAGAGAAGTAGTTGAGGGGGAAATGAGTCAGATAAAATGAGTAACAAGCCAAGGGGCTAGGGAGTTTAGCTGAATCCTTGTACTTCAGTATCTATAATCGATGCACACATATTAAGTGATGTTATGGATTGGTTACCATTAATATTGGTATTATACCTATATAGACGGCATTAGTATTGGTGATGTTATACAGTGTTCTGAGGAGGCTTGAGGGACAGGACAGAATATGGATTTGAGACAGGGCTAGTCATAAAGGGAGAGAGAAGAGAGAAAACCTAGGGAGAGATAAGATTTTGACTCTTCAAAGTTCAACTGGAGATTGAAAATGTCACATTTAATTTTAAAAAGAATACAAATATTTCAGAAGCCTAATATAAAACTGTCAGCAAATGACACAGAATTGTTTAGGTTGGAAAAGATAACTTTAAGATCATCGAGTCCAACTGTTAACCTAGCACTGCCAAGTCCACCACTAAACCATGTCACTAAGTGCCACTTCTACACATTCTTTAAAGACCTCCACGGATGGCGACTCAACCACCTCCCTGGGCAGCCTATTCCAATGCTTGACAACCCTTCCAGTGAAGAAATTTTTCCTAATACCTAATCTAAACCTCCCCTGGAGCAACTGGAGGCCATTCCCTTTGGTCCTGTCACTTGTTGCATGGCAGAAGAGACTGATCCCCACCCCGCTATAACCTCCTTTCAAGTAGTTGTAGAGAGCAGTAAGGTCTCCTCTTACCCTCTTTTTCTCTAGGCTAAACAATCCAGCTCCCTAAGCCACTTCTCATAAGACTTGTTCTTTACACCCTTCACCAGCTTTGCTGCCCTTCTCCGGACATGCTCCAGCAACTCACTCTCTTTCGCATCATGAGGGGCCCAAAAAACCAGAATTTGAGGTGTGACCTCACCAGTGGTGAGTACACGTCGATGACCCCTTCCCTAGTCCTTCTGGACACACAATTTCTGATACAGGCCAGGATGCCTGTATCAGACCAACAGTCTTCTTGGCCACCGGAGCACACTGCTGGCTCATGTTCATCCGGCTGTTGACAACACCCCCAGGTCCTTCTCCAAGCCTGTAGCACTGCCTGGGGCTGTTGTGACCCAAGTGCAGGACCCAGCATCTGGCTTTAGTGAACTTCATACAAGTTGCCTCGGCCCATTGATCCAGCCTGTCCAGATCCCTCTGTAGAACCACACAGTGGTAGTGAAATTCATAATTCAGAACATTACTTACGCTGGTGGACTGTCTCCGCAGTACTTGCCAATTCTTTTAGCATCATTGATTTCCCCACCATTAAACACTGCGACATAGTCGTATCTGCAGTAGTTGTCTCTCTCTACATCAAACTTCTCAAACTTTAACTCTATTAGCTGCAGGGAAAATGTAAATAACTCATTAATGTTTTGATATGCAGAATTTATTAGTGCTTCTTATAGTAGGTGACCTCTTCATATGAAGTAGTAATTGATTTTTCTTTCCAAAAATGAAAAGTCCTTAATCCACTTAATTGTGAAGTATTTTAATCCATGTGATTTCTCTCCAAGAGTTCAGCACATGACTAATATTCTAGAAAACCTTTTGTTCTCAAATATACGCAGGTAACTTCTGATAAAATTATTTTTATGGGTGAACAAAAAGAGGATAGTAGGTGTTAGGTGTTACATTGCTTTTAAAATAACTCTAACAAATCTAAACCACAGAAAAGGGGGGTTTAATGTTGTCATATCATTCAATATATGCTAAAGCAAAAGCAAAGGCAAAGTTGGTAAGAGTCATTTCATTGAGTTAATTCAGAGCAGGGTCTGAATCACTGTGGTTGTCAATGGTGTGTTTACTTGATGCAGAAATAAAAAGGTCAGAAACAAAAATACTGATAACAAAAGATTAATAAATAGTAAGAAAAAGACCAGGAGGAAGTAAGTAGTTAAAGGAATTGTGTTTCCATACACAATTTCCATAAATGTTGAGGCTTTACAAGTCATGAACACTAGTATAACGCTGGTATTTCCAGTACTGATGCTATTAGCCCCCATATCGAATTTACAGACTTTTCTACTTAAGAAACAAAAGCAATGGACAAGAAAACAGAAATGGAATTTACTTCTCTGAAATCAAGTCCTGCAATATGAGTCTGTCAGTTGTGTGTAATAAGGTAGGAAAACACAACACAGTTGCACAACTGAAACAGAGGTAATATATGCAATTAGTTTGCTTCTTTATATGAAGCACAACAGTATTTAAATCACTTTCCCATAAACAGCACAAATGAGGCATGACTGACTGTGTTGATTGTAGATATGCAGGATTCCTCTTTCTTTAAAAGTCTGTCTCAAACAAAGATGATATTAAATCTTTTAAGACTGTACAAAGAAGAAGCAGTCATTTGTACATTACATACATTTACTGATACAGTAAAAATTATCTTGTTCCACATTCGTAGTAATTATAGCCTGCTATCATATCTCCTAAGGTCTGAATTTTGCCTCGGTATGCTTTTGCACTACTCAGATGTGTAAGGCATTATCTTGTGTCCCATAAAGTATGAGTAACCTAACGGAGACTTGGTTTCAGAGATGAGTAACAGGCTTGTTCCAAAAAACTTGTAGTCATGATGAAAAAAAAATGCACTTTAAATGGAAATATCCATCTGAGTAATATACTTGTGATGAGAAAAGAAGGTATAGAAAGAAGTAATGCAACTGGGAGCAGAAATTCTGGGGTTTTTTTCCACAGCAGGCAAACTAGCAGGTTATAGTATCTACTGTACTATTGTTCATAAGTGTACTTTGCGCTAATAACAAAATATTTTGTGATAGAAGCTCTTCTCCATTATGAGAAGCTTTTCCAGCTTCTGTACTAAGTGAAGTAACTATTGGTTTGGGTTAGAAGCAAAAGTGTCCCTTGTAAAAGGAAGTGAGACAACGGCAACTAAACCTTACCAAACAGAAGAGTGAAGAGCTTTTCATGTGTACTTGAAGAGAGATGCTTATTCACTACTTCCTTAGGAATGGCTTTTGTCACTGTCAAAACTGCCTCATTTGCATGCAAACAACCACTGCTGCAGTACAGGAAAAATAGATATTCAGAAATTTGGAGAATTATGGAACAGGATCTTCAAAAGGTACAGGATATAATGCCCTTATTTTCATGCCTATATAGCCTTTCTTAAATCTTCTCTACAAGCTTAAAAAAGGTTTTTAGGCTTATCTAGAGTTATTGGGAAAGAATGAAAGTCATCTGCAGTTTACAGATAAGGTTTTAAAAATCACTGCCTATCTATCGGACTTGCATCTAGCAAGCAAGGAATGTGGATTAAAGAGAAGTACAGGAAATATTAAGCTGATGTACTGCTTCACTTGAAGGGAGAAAATATCTTGGTAAATGAAAAAAATAAGAAAGTTGTCAAGAACACATTTGTCTGGGGCAGCTTTTTTATTTGAAGGATTACAGTCATAAGAAGAAGATTAAAAGGAAAGTTGCCTTTATGTGTACAGGAGTGAGAAAAGCTGGATGTGGTTAAGAAAAGCAACCTACCAAACATGCTTGGTGACCAAAGCATTCAGTCTTGGTAGACTTCCTGCCAAAGCACAGAGCAGATGGCTCAGCAACAATCAGAAAATGTGATGCTAAGACTGAAATTAACCCTACAGTGCAGGGAACCTTGTGTTTGCCATGTGTGGCAAATGAGCCCTCTTAGTCTGCTGCCACATTTCTTCAGGTCTTAATGAAGTGGCAGCATATGCTCTGATAGCACCCAGCTAATCAAGCAAGCATGAGAAAGAGACTTCAAAATATGAAATAAAATTTCATGAAACTGAAAATCCATGTGCAGGTCACATCTGAACATATTCCCTGTACTGCAAGCAGAATAAAATAATTTCTGCTTTTAATAAATTCAGTAAGCTCTAGTAACAAACTGCAGCAACACAGAAACTGCTACAGATGTTGTTAGACTTAAACCTAGCATTGGTCCTGAGATAATCACCTGCTCTGACTTAATTAACAAAACCGTCTTAAAAGAATCTATTTTAAAAGCCTCATAAGTCACAGATGCTTTAAAAAGTTTAATCAGGGAAATGTATCACTGCACAGAAGAGGACATACAATGCTGAGAAAGCACAGGCGTTACTGGAGTGCACCAGGTAACAGGTAAGAGGAAGGTGGGTGTTGCTGGTGCACAGGTGTGCCTACACCACTTGCACGTACCTACTCTACATTTCAGCCAGACAGCATTTTTATTGTTTCGGTGCAGCGCAGGCAGCATGTTGTGTGTGCAGGCTGTTGATGAGGTGTTAGTCCTTGCAGGCAATGGAAGCTGGGCCACACCAGTGGGACGATGACAGTGCCTCACCTGGTTCTTCGGGGCTATGATGTGCCAGGAGCAGGTCACTCCTGCCGGGTAGTCTCGCTCTGGCCAGTTGGGCGTGTGGAAAGACCCTGACGGCTTCTCCAGTCGTCCCCCACAGTACTGATCCCCTGCAAGTACAGCACACCACGCTGATCAGAGTGCAACGGGGATGCAGGTAACACGTGTACTGCACTTCTTTCACTGCAGAGACCTCGGTGAGGGAGACGTGGCCGGTCCCAGCCAATTCTGGCCACCTCTGCCATGGCCCCACCACAGGACAGCAGTCCTTCGCTCAGCTGGCGGCACCTCTGGGAAAATGCATTTAATAAAGGGCAGAAAATGCCAGATGTAGATGAAGAAGGGAGTGAAAAAAAAAGAGTGAGAAACATTCCTGCAAACACCAGGGTCACTGGAGGAGGAGGAGCTGCCATCCTCACAGCGCAGGGGGCACCTGTGCCAGGGCTGACCACCATTCCAGAAGCAACTGTGGCCTGTGGAGAGCCCACAATGGAGCCAGGCTTTTTCCTCGATATCTCTTCCTCTCAGGTATAAATTATAAAGCTACATCAGGTATGTAATATTTATAATATGATTATGAATATTCTTTTATTTGATTTAATTAATTAATTTAATTTAATGAATTAAAATTAACTCTATCACATCACAGTCATTTAAAACATCTTTCAATAAGTTATCAATACAGGGATACAACTGGAAGGACCAATAAATTACTCATCATCTGCACTGGACCTGCCTAACAACCTATCTAGTCTGGTAGCATGCTAATAGCAAACAGATTCACTCAGCAGAGCAACACCACCTCCCTGTAACCTCCCAGCCGCTTGCAGTTCATAGCCTTCCTAAGCATAAGGCATAGCTTTTATGTTTAATATCTAACCACTTTTTCTTCCATATGTTTTCCTAACTGTTTTTAAACCAGTGCAGAAATTGACAATCCACAATGGCTCCTGGCACAGCACTCCATCACTTCCCCGTTCACTGAAAAAAATCACCTTCTTAACTTTGCAGCCACTTGCTCATTTGGGATTTTTTATTAGTTTTATTTGTTTTTTTATTAGAAAGTGACTGTGGTTCCTGTTCACTTTCTCCATACCAGTCATGACTATAGAGCCCTCTCCTACTTTCCCTTTAACCTTCTCTCTCCCACCACAAAGATGTCCATGCTGTGCAGCTGGTTTTTGTGTAGAAGATGTTCCTTAACTCTGTCATACTTGTTGTCTCTGATTGCATCTGATAGTTTTATTATATCCTGTTCCCAGTTGGGAATATCATAATGGCACAGAGTATTAAAGATGTAGATGTATCATGGACTTACAGCTGCATAACTTTTTGTTGTTGTTCTTTGGCCTTTATTCCCTTTTCAAAAAACTGTTAAGTCTGTTTCTTTTTTGATACCTATTAAGCACTGGATTGATGCTCAACTGGTGTTTTCATAAGTTATCTATTTTAAACCTGAGATTTCATTCCTAAGTGGTAATAGTCAATTCAGAGTCTATTGTACTACACATAAAGTTATTTTCCCCTTACTTGCAACATTTATCTATATTGAATTTCATCTGCCATTTTATTGATAAGCAATTACCATACTGGTACCAGGTGTAGTTTTTTTTCACAATTCTTAAAATAGTTAGTCCTCCTCTTTACTACTTTCATCAACTACAATGGCTAAACAGTTATACTACGATATTTGCTAAGCAAGATAATTAATGAATATGTTGAACAGCACAATCCCTTATATATCTGGCATCACGTCCTTTTAAGCATTAATGTTGCTCTCCATGCAGCTGTTCAGCTATATTTGTCTTCAGCATATATATATATAATTATTAACTACCTCTTTCATGTGGTTCTGCTGCAGAAAACTTTGCGATGAATCCACTTCCAGCAGTATTAGCATCTGAAGTCATCTGCACCAGCATTTTATTGCTGTTGGATACAAGGGCACCTGGTTTCACAGTACCACAGAACCTGCCGATGCGTTGTCCATTGGCATGGCCGTTGTATATATCCACAAAATCGTATCGGCACAAGTTGTCACTTTCGAGGTCTAAATATCTGAAAGAAAGAACCACTACTTTTCCTTCTGGGACCTGCAGAAAGAGAGAGGAAAGGAGGGAGAGATGTAAATTGAAGTGTGATTTTGACCACATACCTATCTGATCCCACTATTTGTGTGAGTATTTTCATACCCTTCACTACTCAACAGGCAAGCTGTTTCTGTCAACTATGCCCCAGGCAGAGTGGTTTTTAAAATCACATTGGAACAATCACAAAACTAAAGCTCAGGCCATCTCTGTTGTCATTTTCTTCTTCCTGATCCACAGTAGCATCTAGCCAGGCTCATAGAGTTGATTATATACTATCACCACCCAAATCAGCTTGCCATGTTTCTCTTATTTTCTGCTGAAGTATGTAATCAGCCATGCACCTCCCTGTCACCAAAGTAAGGTGAGGAGAATAATATTTTTTTTTAAAAAAGAAACAAGCAATTTACAATTTTGAGCAAATGAAATGGTCTCTCTTATCTTGCTAATTGTGTCATAAAGTTTCATAGTTTGAAGGATTTTCTTCTGCAAACCAAACCATGTCTGATCCTTCAGCTACAAGAATTATGGAGATCCAATATTAACTACATTTCTTGATGCTTATTATCTAATTTACAGGCCTTGCTCAGTCTATTCTTTGCCAGCCAGACCCTTTTGTACAGACAAAAACTTCATGGATTGACAAGATTCCATATCAGTTTCCATGCAAATCCATGGAAACCTAACTCATTTCCAACATAAAACAAGTTATTTGAAGCATTAATACATATACTTATCAGTGATTGCAAATCATCTTTTGTCCTTTCCACAAAAAAAAAATTCTTCGTCATGGAAAGAGGGTTAGAAAGGTTAAAAAAAATTAAGAAAGTCACTACATTCCAATCAAACTTGATAAATGAGTAAATTACAGCAACTAAACAGTTGGCTTTGACAAATTACTTCCATATAATGGATTTTTCATAGTAATGAGGCTACCGTGCAATTGGTTTTTTAAAGCCTTACATTTCTCATTAATACAAAGTGTGAGTCAGTGTGCACAATGGGGATATTTACTAAAAAAAACTAAGGGGAAAAAATCTCAGACAGCAGTTGACATGACAGACAAATGTCACAGCCTAAGATGGTGTAATTGCTTCCATCAGCAGTGACACATTGTTGACTAGTCTTTAAGTGGCTTGAACTTGAGGAGCTACTCAATGCCAAAAGCAGCATAAAGCCTAGGACTTTTCCACTTGCAATTCATTTGTGATTCGTTTATCCATCCAACACTATCAAAAGTGCCAGCTGCATATGCTTTACAGACTCTGCAGGACAAAAGAAAACAAAAAAAAGTACAAAAAAAAGTACAAAAATAACCACTTCAATGACCTTTAAGTAACTTCCCTGCCCACCAGTATCTTCCTGCCTTATTCAGTTCTTTGACATTTCAGACCATGTCAATCACCACAGCACAGCACCTGTCTTTCTAATATAGGTTGGACACTACTCAGTAGAAATAAAGATTCACACAGGAAGATGACCCTCACTCGCAGAGTACAGCTTTCAGTTGCCTCACTGGCATCCTGAGCATAGCCTGGTATTCAGTAAGGCATCTCACAGCTTCTAGCTTTACTTGATGCAACCTATTTTGAAACATCCAAAGCACAGCATCAAAGGTGGTTTGAGCCAGCAACAGCTTTTCAAAACAGAGGGGCAATGATAAAAAAAAGGGGAAGATCTTAGTAACATACATAAATACCTGAGGGGTGGGTGTCAAGAGGAAGGGGACAACCTCTTCTCAGTGGTGCCCAGTAACAGGACAAGAAATAATGGGTTTAAGCTAGAACATGGGAAGTTCCACCTCAACATGAGGAGAAACTTCTTTACTGTGAGGGTGACAGAGCACTGGCACAGGCTGCCCAGAGAGGTTGTGGGGTCTCCTTCTCTGGAGACTTTCGAAACCCGCCTGGATGCGTTCCTGTGTGGCTGCCCTAGGGGATCCTGCTCTGGCAGGGGGGTTGGACTAGATGATCTTTCCAGTTCCCTTCCAACCCCTAACACTCCATGATTCTAAGATTCTGTACTGACACACAACTTATATTTATACATAGAACCGCAAACTTTATGGCTAATCCTGCACAACCGTAATATTTAGTTATTGGAGTGGGTACATTTAGCTTGAAGGCTGAAGGAAAAGAATTGTATTTGGAAAGAATATTTAAAACTATAAACGCAGAATTCAAAAGAAGCATTAATGGATGTCCTCAATACAGAAAAGAGTTTTGTTTTCAGAAACATCTGAGGAAACATAAGACAGGGTAAATCTTATATCTGTGTCTGTGGACACTGTTAAAGAGGCAACAGTACTGAGAAGGATGTATATTAAGAGAGCAAAATAGGAGAAAAGGAAGGAAAACGAGGAGGGAAACATTTCCTGCGATAGAGTTGCAAGATTTTAAGACATTAAGCAGCATACTGAGGAGCACTCAACCCTATGTAAAAGTACAGGAAGAAGTGAAATAGTATTTTAAAGTATAGAGGGACTCTAGACAGGCAAAGTGCAATTATCTGCATTCAATTCATAGCCCAGTAGAGTGGTCACCTATTAAAATAATTGCAGCTGTTCTATTTTACTGACACACTGCTATTATTTACTGCTTTAAATGTATACACACACTTCAATTATCTGCAGTAAGGCCATGTTTAAGCTACTTCAAGGGTTCATTATTTTTTCTTTCCTTTAAAGTGACTTGCTTTAAAACACCAATTTGAGGTGAACTACAGGTAAACTGTATGAAATTGTCAAACAGTGTTTGAATCTTGTGAGATTAAATGGAAGATGAAAGTCCTATAGACAGGACTGACCAACCCACAGAAGACAGGCAGCAGCTCTAAGTGCAGTGAAAAATGTGCTATAGATATCTTAAGGTTTATCATTCATGCAGCTTCTTTTATTTCTGGTGTTGATACTGATCCTGCAGCATGATGGACTTTTGCACGAGCTGTTTTCAAGTGCCCAGGTCCCAAATACACACTGGCTGACCAGCCCCACTGCAGTTCCTGTTGCTGGTTTCAGAGTATTTTCCTTTAAGTTCTTCCGAAAATGCATTCAGTTCCCTTGTGCTGATGTACATCACTATATTACTACTACATCAAAATCACAAAACTCATCTAATCTTACACAGAAATTCCAAAACACAATGACTATTTTTTACAAAACTTTAAAGCGAGATGTTAGGTTTAGAACTCACACTACTGAAGTGAGCAAGCCCTATAACAGAAAATAACTGCAATGGATAATTTGTCAGCATAAGGCCAATACAGACACATGGTCATATTGTAAAGTATTATGTGAAAGCAACATGACTCTTCTAATTGCTGCTCTCGTAACTATATCTCTTATTAGTGCATTGAGTTATCTTCTGGTCTGAATCACTAAGAAGCACTAAGATATGGTCATTTTAACAGAAAGAGAGCTAAAAGGAATTTGGTATTTCTGTTCGAGGACCTGTCTTTTATTTATTATTATATTACAAACTCTATGTGACCAGACAAATCAGTTCAAAAATGATGGTTGTAAAGTTAGTCAGATAAAGTCAGATTTAGGCAGTTAAGCTAAAATAGCCTTTTTTTTTCATAAGTATGTATATAAAATAGCATATGCTCTTTTGGAGTAGAATATTCATTATTTGTACATTTGTACAATTAGTACAACAGGATCCAAATGAGGTGACCTTTAAAGGTTATCTTGTTTTAAAACTGACTGAGCTGTTATGCCTACAGTTAAGATTGTCCAACATTTTCCACTACAGTGTCTTGCAGCTTTGCTGCAACTTAACTTACCCATCTTTATGAAATCACCCCTTTTCTTACCACTGTTTCCGAAAGTTGAACAGAAGTTGCTCTATTCTATTAGATTAAATAATTTTGTTAGTGCTTATGAAATTTTTCCATACTTGCTCAGCTTGAATTGCTTCTTTGAAGACACCTACTCCCTCCCAGAGTTTGAAAAAGGAAGTTGAAATGTGAGAAGAGGCAAGTTCTGGAGTAAGAAAAGGTCTTTTTGCTGTCCTTGAAGAAATGCATTCAGATTTAGCCAAGTGATTATCCCTCCGTCATGCTGATGGGTCCTCACTGACAGTTTTGTTCCATGAGTATATTGATCTAGTGCTGACTCTGCTCACACCAGCTTCAAGGCACTCAGTCCTAACCCCAGGTATTCCGTACTCCCCTGCTGCCTCAAGTGGGGCACAGTGAACCAGGATGTGGGACCGACCTGTGTTCAAGAGCGAGAGGACACTGTCAAAGCAGCCAAACTCTGAACTGCCAGCTAACCATTCACTCAAATCTTGGGGTTTCTGTTTCATGGTATAAGTAATTCTGTGCAGTGTTGTTTGCTTCCTTCTCCTCTCTCCACCACTGACTATGTGATACTATACTACATTACATTATATAATTATATTTCATTATAGTTTTTAATCTCCATAGCTGCTGTTGGTTCAGACTACTTGATCTCGGTCAAGACCGTTCCCCACAGATGTAACTGAGTTTCTTAGTTTTGTTTCATGACATTTTGTAAGAAAATGTGGAGGAAAAACTCAGCCACATAAGGAGCCTACTCCAGATTTTAGTTGTCAGAATTATCCTTTCTCAAGTTTCACTGAATTTAGGGAAATAAGTCATTTACAGAAATGTATGGACTGGGACCCTTAATCACAGTCACTACTTACTGTGATTATGTTATAAAATAATTTAATTACTAATTAAAATAATATTGGTCATTATTCACAAAACTAACAAACTTGTCCCAGCATGTTAAATCAGTTACAAGCTTGAGGTATGACCAGATGACCTTCAAGAGCGCAGAGGATGGTAGTTCCACGTTCTGGCAGCAGCCACTCAGTTTGCAGCTACTTGCAAGGAATCCCACCCTTTGCAAAACAACACTTTTCTTTCATTTCTACCATTTTCCTTTTTTAAATGTTAAAAAGTAATGTGCTAAAATCTGCTAGTGTTTATCTCAGGACATTTAAAACACAAGGGAGAAAGCTCAGGCCAGCATGACT